TCGGGTTTATACTAAGCTGTTTGATTAGTTCCTCTTAGTAACTAATCGAAATTTACAAGATGAGCAAGATCACTAGCATATTACGCACATTTCATTTGCAGGCCTTCAAGCTGGCTACGTTTCATTCGTTTTGACGCGTTGATTATCAGTACAACCGTTTTCTTAAGACAAGCGACGTCTGTACAGAGACTTATAGTTATTTTTTTATATAGATCTTTTATATTTCTATACTTGTAAACAATTTTTAAACAAAACCTGAAGAAGACAGTTATACTGTCGAAATATTGTTGAACGGTACGAGACACTCTTTTCTTTTCTTTTTTCTTTTCTTAAATCGCGCTCTTCTCTAAGAATTATTATTATTATTATTATTATTATTATTGATTTCTGCTGTATTTGCTTCCGGATCATAATCAGAAACCTAAGGTCAGAAATGGCATCATGACATTTTCTACTGAACATTTAAAAAATAAAATAAAGCAACCTAAGTTCACACATATTTTCCATCGATAAATCCCTTCGTATGGTATGAGCTGTACTTATTGAAAACAATTTTTTGTATTTTTAAAACTAGAAATCCGTTCAACGTGTCTTTCAGAACCTTTTCCAATCAAACCTTTAAGTCTGCAACCACAACTGAAATTAAGGATGTCTTCATGTCCCACATTTTTGAGATTTCCATAAGATACTTGTATTTTGATAATTTATTATTATTATTATTATTATTATTATTATTATTAATGCTGTGTCTCTTGACACCGAACACTATAATTACAAAGACACTTTGCCTTAAATATGTTATTTCCCAGAATTACCCTTTTCAAGAGATTTGAGGCGATAGAGAAACTTTTTTTATTGTTATGAATGATTTTATATATTTATGCGTACTTGTATTTTAATATATGCAAACAAGTATATATATATATATATATATATGTGTGTGTGTGTGTGTGTGTGTGTGTGTGTGTGTGTGTGTGTGTGTGTACATATATATACAGGCTTGCGTGTCTCTATGCTATAGTGTATATATGTAAATATGTATTCAGTCAGGTATGAACTGATGCATTTATGTATATATGCATGCATGTGTGTGTGTGTGTGTGTGTGTGTGTGTGTGTGTGTGTGTGTGCATACCCATGTTGCTTGATTGTAAATTATACCTCTGCTGAGCACGAAAATAGTATTTTGCACATTTTAAGATATATATATATATATATATATATATATATATATATATATATGTGTGTGTGTGTGTGTGTGTGTGTTTCACTCAATAAAAGACCTAAGAGACACTTAAGGTAGAGGGTTACTGAATTAAATGAATGAACGTAAACTGAAACATAAAAAGTAGGATGGGAACATAACGAGGATATGGCGGTTAGATAATGATTGCGTCTAGACTTTAAACGGCTAAGATTGTAGCGTTCGAGGAAGCATCCACGCAGGAGCAGTTCTTGGTAATAAGTTTTCGGGTTGGAGATGCCCATCTTACGAAAGTAAATGAATGGGATTCAACTCTGCGGAAATAGCAGGTGACACTAAAGAATTGCACATATTTGGAACATTTGCCATGGAAGTCACGATAGACCTGCAACGTGCCGCTTGTGGGAAAGAGGTTGCAGAGTAGAAAATAGGCCATGTCCCACAAGGCTGCGTTAACGATTTTTTAAAAGTCTGTCAAGGCTAGAAACTGAATGTGAAAGAATGAGAAACTCTCTAACGGTGAACCTACGCGAGCAAAATAACATTCCATACTAAATAACAAATAAATAAACTAAATAAGCAATAACATTCCACGCTAATTCACTCGCCAATACCAACTGTCAGCAAGCCATCTTTACAATAAAATGTATGAACATTAAAATGGATATGGCTTCTCTATATATACAGGGTCTTGCCAAAAATTTGACATAATTTTAAAAGCATTATTTACATTATTCGAACTATTATCCTTATCTTTTTCGCCACATTTATTACGTTTCGGCTGTCGTACGCTTTGGCCTTCTTCAGGTGGTTGGAATGTCGAACTGAACCCTTTATTTCGCTCACTGGGGTAGACTGTTCTAGTTCCACGTGCCATATTTTAATGGATGTCAACCACCTGAAGAAGGCCGAAGCGTACAACAGCCGAAACGTTGTAATAAATATGGCGACAAAGATGAGGACAATAGTTCGAATAATGTAAACAATGTACATAATACCGCATCTCAGAAATATAGACAGATATTTTAAAAGCAATTATCTTGAAAACTACTAAGTCTAGCTCAATGAAATCGAACAGTTTAGGTGTTGAATATTATAAGTTTATTTTGGGACCGATTTTATAAGTGTTCAATATGTGTACCGCTTGTGACACGGCACATATCAAGTCGGTAGTTAAGCTGTTGCCAAACACACTGTCTCTGGTAACATTATCCAGTGCGGAAGTGATTCTCTGCTTTTGTTCATCAATCCTAGCAGGAAGAGGGGGTGGGAACATAGACCATTCCCTTCTCATATCCCCATAAAAAGAAATCACACGGGGACAGGTCCGTTGATCGCGGCGGTCATTTCATCAGGAAACTCTCTTCATCTCCACCACGCCCTATCCATCTCTCTGGCAGATTCTCATTGAGATAAGCACATACTGTCCTCTTCCAGGTCAAAAATAAAACATTAAATATAAAATCTTGATCTGTTTCTATACTTTCTGTGAAAATTTGGGGTTATTTTTTTTTTAATTATTGGCCTGCGAAATGATGTCAAAACATTTGGAACACCCAGTTTATTCAATTTTATATCCGATGTTTAATGAAAATTTATAAGCTTATTTGTCAACATCAAAGCCATATTATCTTGTGTTTTTGATAATGTAACCTCAGTCTTTATGATATTAGCCCGCACTTATTCATAGTTCACAAACCTTAGTGTGGCACGTGATTAAATTCAGTACGAACACTGTGGCTGTAAATTTGCAGGATTTCTGATGCACTCTAATATATAATAAAAACATTAATATAGTGGCGTTATAGATTGTTATTAGATGTGCACACAAAATAAGCATTTAACTAAGGGCATCAAAAAACGAAAATCCTTCTGATGCATCCTAGGATAATAAAACACTTCTGGTTCGACAAAAGATTTTAATTTACAAGATTTTTTTTAAAAAAATAAATCAATTCAACCGAAGCAAGCCGATAATGTCAGTAAGACGCAAGGAACTACTGGAAGTGAAAGAAAATGAGAAAACTTGAAAAGAAACCTAATCCTTCTAAACAGGAAACAAAGGGTAAACCTGTACTCCTGTTCAAAAGACAAGGAAGAATCAACTGCTATTGAGGACGTGTAAATAAACAACTTTTTTTAGAGCTCTCATGAAATAAAAATAATTTCCTATGGATTTTAAGTGTTTGATATTCTTTAATTAATAATAATTTTGCTCTCTCTTTTGACATGGAGCTCTCACTGGATCTATATCCTCCTGGAAATTCCATACGGATTACCATATTTTATTATATATATATATATATATATATATATATATATATATATATATATATATATATGAATGATATAACTGGTATAAGAATGACAACTGGAAAAATCTTAGTTTTTTGTCGACGCGTTTCGTTTTTCGTCTTTATCAAGGCAAACAATGAAAGCGAAATATTTTTTGTCATAATTACATTAAATGCAAAATTTGAAAAAGAGAGACGCTGCTTTTTACAATTGTCATTCTTATAGCAAGTTGTCTTATCCACAGCATTATTCTGGGAAATGTTACTATATAAGGTATAAATAGATATTGCATATTTGTACAACAATCCTTCTTTTATACATGTTGCATTGAATACAACAGGCAAGGAATTTGTTGTAATGAGGATTAAGAGTGAGTAGAAATTGTCTCTAGTGACTATTGTCCCTGGAGCTCTCGTCTTATATTTTAGTCATTTTGATATGGCGGTTAATTTTCGTTGGTAATATATTTTGTTTGCGTTTCCTATGCTGTGTTGTATGAGAGTATTAGTAACTTGTTTTTCGTTTTGTTTTGTTTTAGTCTTCAAAACACACCTAAAACTGGTTTTGAAGTAAGTCAAAACAATGACATATTAAGAAGAATCTGGTTGTAAAGAAAAAAAAGATGGAAGATAAATGAAGCAAACCTAATGAAAACCAACAGACCTACACTTCACATTGCATTATGTGCCCACGGTTTGGAGTAATAAAAATAACGAATTAAAAAACAAATGCAATAATTCTTTAGAAATTGCTTTAAGTTTCGGATACTAAACTGAACAAATCTGGGCTTTCAAGACAATCTGGATGACTGGATGTGAATTCCTTAAAAGGCTAAATAGGAGTTTGTCGGGCTGTGACGCACTCTGCGACCGAGCTGTCCAAAGCACACCTGATCAGACGGTGGCTTATCCTACAAAGGAGCACTACCGGATAGAACATTTAATAATATTTTATCGAGTGCCCAGACCGGCAGACTTTATACAAACTGTTTCAAAAACCGGCCGTCTCTTTCAAATACGAGTATCCATTAAAAATAACGTTTGAAGTAATAGTAAAAAATATCAGATTCAAGAATATAAATCCATTAATACATATATGTGTGTGTGTGTGTGTTTCCGAAGAAAAAAATGAGATAGCCCGAATAACTATGATGATGTTTGCCTGTTAGCAGCTTCTATCGGCAGCTAACGGTAGTCGGTATCACAAGTGGTTGGATTGATTCATTAATTGATTGACTGATTTTTTACGGCTCATCAACCCTTTATGAGTTATTTAAAGCCGAAACATACATTGGACTGTAAGAATAATACTATTTTATAAGTGAATATTGCATTAATTTTTTTTTTTTTTGGTTGGGGGAGAATAAATGATTTTTTCCCTATACAAGTCTTACTATTTTACCCACAGCTGGGGGAGTGAGGAGACTGATTCATACCTTTTCTCAAGGGTATGTGTGCTGAGGGGAATATTTGAACGAAGCCGACTGTTCGACAAGTGGGTGAATGCGTTCTTATATCTCATACATGAATATTTCTCTCTCTCTCTCTCTCTCTCTTTCCCACACATACACACACATCTTCTCTCTCGTCGTCTCTCTCCTCTCTCTCTCTTTTACACACACACGCACACCTTCTCTCTCCTCCTCTTTCTCACATCCTATCTCTCTCTCACACACACGCACACCTTCGCGTCTCTCATCTCTTTCTCTAACAAACACACACACACACACCTTCTCTCTCCTCTTTCTCTCCTTCTCCCTCCTCTCTCTCTCTCTCTCTCTCTCTCTTACACACACGCGCACCTTCTCCTCTTTCTCTCATCCTATCTCTCTCACACACACGAACACCTCGTCTCTCTCATCTCGCTCTCACAAACACACACCTTCTCTCCCTCTTTCTCTCCTTCTCTCTCTCTCTTTCTCTCCTTCTCTCTCTCTCTTTCTTTCTTTCTTTCTTTCTCTCTCTCTCTCTCTCTCGACGACGACGACGAGCAAACCTTTGATAACCGACAGTCTTTCATCCTCAATCTCTGACTTACCTTGTGTCGGTGTATATGGTAAATGATGGCTTCTATATTCGTGACTTTTGCAGTTGCGATGACTTTTGTGCTTCTAATGAAGTCGCTCCAATGCGAATAGCGCAAAGAAGCGTTAGGTGTTCAAGTAGGTGGAGGTGACAGCGGTGTATGAGCCGCAATCCCAACATCAGACTGCAGAATTCATAGACTTTACTTCCATGTACTTCTTAAGATTTTAGTCTGCCAAAGGCGATGTTTTCCTTGGCCAATCTGTTCCATCAGCGACCGTGTATCTGATGTCAGGCACCTCGTTAATTTTCGTTCGAGATGCCATACCCGACAGCAAGAACAACAATAACACACACACACACACACACACACACACACATATATATATATATATATATATATATATATATATATATATATATATATATATATATATATATATATATATATATATATGTACACATGTATGTGTGTGTGTGTTCTGAATTGAATGATATAGACATGTGTCTATTTATTTTTATAATCTTTCTAGTTCTCTAATCAGTTTCTTGATAAAATTCATGAAGAAAGGCACCTTCCTTGATGAATTTCCAACTGATTAGAGAATTAGAAAGGATTATTATAAAAAATAAATAGACATAATATGTTTATATTATTCAATGAAACATGTTTGAATGAAAATATGCTGCCTAAATAGTCGTATTTAAGACGTGTCCTAGTGTAATTTAAGAGGTATCTGAATGTCATTTAAGACAAGTGTGAATTCCATTACATGCATTTCATTTGAGATGTATCTGAATATCATTTAAGACATTTGATTTAAGACGGGTATGACAATTCATTTAAGACATGTTTGAAAATTATTTAAGAATAAATCTCATTTAAAACAACAGAATGAATTTTATTTAAGGCATTTTTCAAAGTTTCTTTATGACATACTTTACAGTTAATTCAAGTTTGAATGTCATTTTAATAAATTTATTTCAGGCGACTCTGAAAAGATCATATAAGACAGACCTGAAAATTAATTTAAGATGGCTCTGAAGGCATCCAATTTCACCAAATTTAATTTGATTTAGATAGATAGATAGATAGATAGATAGATAGATAGATAGATAGATAGATAGATAGATAGATAGATAGATAGATAGATAGATATGAGCAGAATCCGACAGATTTATCTCCCTTGTATTTGCGACGTCTGGTTTCTTTGTTATAACAATGGCTGACTATTCAAAGAAGATTAAGCCGAGTTGTTAGAATTATATATTTCAAATATAACGTAATAATTCCTTGATAATAGTAAGGACATAACAAAGTATCTGTTCCATATATGCCATGATTTTTACGACATGGGTAACTAGCTAAATTGAACTATATGCATTTACATGTTTCGAACAGCTAAACTTACATAGAATAACGCCTTTTTCTTTTATATCATAAAGAAGAGATTCGAGCCATAGAATTTGTCATTCCCCGAGGACAGATGTAACAATGGTCTATTTACTTTAGAGTCTCTTCATATAACTCGAGTTTTCATGTGGTAGATATCCAGAATTTTCTCAATTTTCTCTGTTATTGCCTCGAGCATCAGGACTTGTCTCCAGGACCAACGCCTATAACAACAGGGTGGTGCTTCTTATACGATTGCCAGACATCAGTCTTCAGAAAATGGATTTCAACCTTGAAGGATCCAATTTATATCCATAATGAAATCTACTCTAACAAGGAAGAATGCGAAAGTTCTTGAAAATTCGTTGCCCATAAAAACATTTACTTTTGCGCCCTAGACTAAAAACTAACGTAGTGAAGATTGTACAGCTTGTGGCAGAAATACTTCCCACATAATGGGATGACATTAGTGACAATGGTGTCTCCCTCTAGCTAATGTCTTACGATTATGTGGGAGATATTTCTGAGAAGTATATGTCGAAGGTATTTCTGTCACACCCTCTATAAGTAAACTAATTCTTTTTTTTTGTTGTTGTTTTTTGTTTTTTGGGGTTTTTTTTGTGAACAACAACTCTGAATTTAAAACCTTTGGAAGATCACTTGGGGACCTTGTGGCACACTATGTGCACCTGTTTACGGTACTTCCGAAAAATGCAGTTGGTTCCACACAAGCCTTCGCCTCTATAATCAAACTATATATCTAGGTAGTCTGGCTGTTCGGCCCTAAGAACTGAGCATCTGTACAATTATACGTCGAAAACGACAATATTTAAATGGTAATCAAAATCCAGTACTCAAAGTTTGATGCAGTAACATTATGGTCAGGCAGATAAAATATGAAACGATTTATCTTTTCAATATATATATATATATATATATATATATAGTGGCGGAAAGCAAATATTTTTACACATACAAATTTTTAATTTATTGTATTTCAACCTAATGAATAAACATATTTTCATATACTGTACACAGATGCATAATTGCTAAATATGTATAGAAAACAGAAATAAATGATTTAATAGAAATAAATCCCATTTATCCATTTTAATGGGTCAAAACGTTATTTTTACAAAACAAAAAAGAATACATAATCTTCATTTAATACTTTGTAGCAAAAGCCATTATTCACTTTTACAGCAATCAAACTCTTCTTGTAGTTCTCAACGACTTGCAAATTTTAGTTGCTATTTTGTTCCCTTCTTCTTCGTATATGGTCTTCAGATTGGGGATATTTGTTGGAACTCTCGACTGGATTTGAATTTTCAAATAAGGCCACAGATTTTCGATTGGATTTAAATCTGGGGACTGGCTTGGCCCTTTCAGGACATTTGCATTATTTTCAGCAAGTCATTTCTTCGTAGATTTTGCAGTGTGCTTAGGATCATTATCTTGTTGAAAGATCCACTTAGGAGGAAGTTCAAGATTTTCAAACGAAATCATTAAATTTGCTTCCAAAATATTTTGATATGCTGCGGTATATATTCTACCATCTATTTCTGATCTGTTGCCAGTACCTTTTGCAGAAAATATCCCAAAACCATGATGTTGCCACCACCAAATTTCACTGTTGAAATTGTGTTCTTTTGTTTAAAGGCATTGCCATATTTCCTCCATACATGATTTCTAGAATTACGTCCAAACAACTCAATTCTGCTTTCGTCTGTCCATAATACTCTTTCCCAATATGATTTTTACTTATTCTTATGTTCACGAAAAAATTTCAATCTGACAATTTCAATAGCAGTGGAGTTTTCCGAGGGGGGCATGACTTTAGATTGTTCCATTCAATTTCATTGCTTATTGTCCGTTTAATGACACGGATTCCTGATGAAAGTAAATCATCCTGCAACTCTTGACGAGTAACCATTGGGTTTTGTTTAATTTGACGCATTAATTTCCTCGCAAACGCATTAAATTCCTTTGCAGAAATCTTCCGTGAAGCATCTTTTCTTCTTTCGTTTACAACAGTTTTGAGTTTTTTTATACCTTGCAATGAATGAACTAACGGTAGTAAATGAAATAATCGAGTTGTCTGAGATTTTCGTGTAACTTTTACCTTCTTTCCAGAGCTTATCAATCAGTTATTTTTGCGAATTTGTCAAATGTTTCCCTCTGGGCACGATGAAAACCTTCTTGCACGAATATCAATTACAGAATATTCTGTTTGTATTTTTTATGCTAAAAATAATTACGGGTATCATTATTGGAAAATTCTAGAATATTCCACTTGAATAATCTAGAGTATTAAAGATATTTAAAAGTTTTAAAATTTGAAATTTACATTATACGGATACTTTTTCCACGCATTAAAATAGATAAATGGGATTTAAATTTAAATGGGATTTAAGTTATTATACATCTGTGTTCAATTAATTAGATGAAAAGTATGCTTAATCATTATTTGGAACTACAATAAATTAAAAATTTTATGTAAACGAATATTTGTTCCCCCGCCACTGTATATATATATATATATATATATATATATATATATATATATATATATATATATATATATATATATAAAAAATGTTTTCGTGCGACGATTTTCGTCCTTTAAGACTTCATCAGACAAAATTACGTTGGTGTGATTGCACATGTGCGAGGCAAGGGATGCTGGGAATTTTTTTTATATATAATCTAATCGATCTCAATAAGATTATTTTTCATTTTGTTTCCATCACTTTTGTAATTAGATATCACACATTGTGATTATAGAAGATCTGCCATGCATGGGGAAATGTTGTAAGGACGAAACGCGGCACACTGAAACGTTTTTTTCCACTTTGTAAGACATTTTTACCCCAATATTGTTCTTGAAATTTATATATCTTCATATATATATATGTTCTTATAAAGTATCGGCTATTATTATAATTACAATATATATATATATATATATATATATATATATTTGTATAATTAGGCAGCAATCCTTCCTTTATGCATGTTTCATTAAAAACGACCGACAAGGTACTACTGTTGAGCTTTTTATTTAATTTTTCTTGTGTTCTGACAAGAGATTTCTTTTCAGGACAAAGAGTGTGTAAGAACTGTCCGAATGTTCTGTGTTTCCGAGCGCTTTCGGCTATACCTTTAGCCATTATCAAGGATGGTTCAATTATCAGCTTAGTAGAGTGTGTGTTCTATGTATGTTCAGTGTATGGTAGTGATGTTTTAGTTTCCAAATACGGTTAGCACATTGTGGCTTTGTTCATAGTTAATATTGTTAAGAGTTGGCTTTTTCTTTTTTATTATTAGAGCTTCCATTATTTTTAGTCCTTTTTTGCAAGTGGATGCAGTTAATATATTAGTGTTTTCTACTAGTATGTTCCTAATAGTGTCGGGTAAATCTGAGTGTGTGTTTAAATGTGTTCTGATGGAACTGTGATCAGATAGGTGTAATGTAAGACGTCTGGATAAACATGTGGTTGTGAAGCCGATGTAATTATTTATGAGTCCGGTTTGGTGAGGAACGCAGTTCCTTAAAGGGCATTTGAACTCATAGATAATGTTCGCTCTTTGTAATTTTGACTTCGTTGGTGTGTTGTTATTTTTGAGGATAAGGTTGGCCGTCTTAAATTTTTTATAATATATAATAAGTTTGATTTTTTTATCCGGGTCAATAGGAGTAGTATATTTCTTTATAATATGTCTTAGAGCAGATTCGTCTTGCTTGTAATTAATATGCATTTGGTTTTTGTAATAAATGTGTATGTGATTTTTAGTTGTGTGTTCGCTATCATTATTACTTGCTTTGGGGAAGAATATTCTAATTTGTTGGTCTATAAGGTAGTTAGGGAAACCGTTGTTAATTAGTGTTTGTTTAACGTTGTTAAGTTCTTTGAGAAAGAGTAGTCGAGAGGATGAGTTCTGGTGGGCTCTATTTAAAAGTTTTTATTACAGCTATTTTGTACCTAAGTGGACATTCGCTTTTGAAATTAAGGTGGCAATGAGTTTTTGCTGGTGGGTTTTTTTGTATAATGATGTAATGAAAGTGTTATTGTTATGTTCAACGAGGATATCTAAGAATGGTAATTTGTTTTTTTGGCTAAGTTCATATGTAAAATTAAGGACGGAGTTTTTCTCAAATGTGGTCTTAAGTGTCTCTATTTCTTTAATGTTATCAGCTAAAATGAATATATCATCTACGTAGCGAACATAGATTTTCGGTTTGTGGACCTGTGTAAATATGGTATTTTCTACGTAGGACATATAATAGTTAGAGAAGCATGGACCCAATGGTAATATAATAATAATGGAAAGCTCTAATAATAAAAAAGAAAAAGCCAACTCTTAACAATATTAACTATGAACAAAGCCACAATGTGCTAACCGTATTTGGAAACTAAAACATCACTACCATACACTGAACATACATAGAACACACACTCTACTAAGCTGATAATTGAACCATCCTTGATAATGGCTAAAGGTATAGCCGAAAGCGCTCGGAAACACAGAACATTCGGACAGTTCTTACACACTCTTTGTCCTGAAAAGAAATCTCTTGTCAGAACACAAGAAAAATCAAATAAAAAGCTCAACAGTAGTACCTTGTCGGTCGTTTTTAATGAAACATGCATATATATATATATATATATATATATATATATATATATATATATATAATGATAGTTGATACTTTATATTTCCTTGTAAAGGATCAGCTATAATAATAATTACTATATATATATATATATATATATATATATATATATATATAT